TTGGAGCTCCCCAAACTTTCCCACAACCCCAGAATATTTAATTTTCAAAATTGTGAACAATAAGCCTCCCACAGCTCATGAATTATGATTTAGTTTCCCACTTTGTACCGGTTCCTGCAGGGCTGTCTTAGGGTTCTATGAGTGAGATTTAATGTGTCCACTTTATTTTCTCTCCAATTTGCAGCAGCTTGCCTTTTTTTTTTTTTTTTTTTTTTGACAGGCAGAGTGGACAGTGAGAGAGACAGGTCTTCCTTTTCTGTTGGTTCACCCCACAATGGCCTTTGCGGCCGGCGCACTGTGGCTGGCGCACCACGCCGATCCAAAGGCAGGAGCCAGGTGCTTCTCCTGGTCTCCCATGCGGGTGTAGGGCTCAAGCACTTGGGTCATCCTCCACGGCACTGCAGGGCCACAGTAGAGAGCTGGCCTGGAAGAGGGGCAACCGGGACAGAATCCGGTGCCCCAACCGGGACTAGAACCCGGGGTGCTGGTGCCGCAGGTGGAGGATTAGACTAGTGAGCTGTGGCGCCGGCCAGCAGCTTGCCTTCTAATATCAAATACTCTGTTGTATCTAAGAAAACGTGTTGGTTTTCTGTTTGTTCAGCCCTTTTCCTATTGTTTGTTAGACTGGAGACTACAAGTCTTACTGTTTTGTTTAATTGTTTAATCTTTGTTTATGTCTCTAATTCCAGAGCCACAAGTAGCAGTAATAGTTTTACCCTATATCCACCCAGGATTTGGGGTTCATGCAACATAAAATATATGACTGGATTATATTTTCATTAATATGGGCAGCATTGTTCCTATTTCTATTATTTCTATCCTTTATATTACTTCTCCTATGTGAGGGAAATTTTCCATTCCATTAATTTTAGGTTTTTCTTTCTTGTTTATGAAATGTGAGTGTGTTCAGAGTAAACTCTATGAACCATGCATTCTAAGGATGGAGCAATAGCTCAGTCCACTGCTTTGTCCAATCAAGGGTGATTAAAAGCACACTCTTAGCAGCACAGCCGGAAGTAGATGGGGCCAACTAATGTTACATTTAACCTCCACTGATGCATTTTACACACAGGTTTAATAATCTAAATACCTAATGCAATGGGCGAAGCATTACTAATATCCAGAGATGTCCATTTAGAGACTCCAAGTCAGCATCAGTGACCTGGCTCCAATGTTGCAGGCACCATTTGCAGGAGAGGGTCTTCAAGAAAAATAACATTTTCTATCAAAGCTTTATCTGGACAACCTACATCCATGGATATGTTTGTTGAAATAGCCAGTCTCTAGTCTATATTATTCTGGAATTTAACATTACCATTCATATCTTCTGTTACCTTTTCATATCCTGGTTGAATGTTTTTCCTTCAAAAGAATGTTCATTGAAAATAAATATTGAGGAGTTACTCATTGATAAACTTGACAAAAATTTAATTAAATAATATTTGTTTTAGATGACATCATTTTGTGCTAATTTAGCAAGTTCACTGAAATTTGTCCTGTCATATATTATAAGCACTTGCTGTGATTACAATATAATATTTGAATACAGTATAAACTTCATTGTAATTTAATATCTTTTTTTAAACTTTTATTTAATGAATATAAATTTCCAAAATACAGCTTATGGATTACAATGGCTTCCCCCCCATAATGTCCCTCCCACCCGCAACCCTCGCCTTTCCCACTCCCTCTCCCCTTCCATTCACATCATGATTCATTTTTGATTCTCTTTATATACAGAAGATCAGTGTAGCATACATTAAGTAAAGATTTCAACAGTTTAATATCTTTATGTGTATGTTCTTTGAATCCATGTTTTTATGATAAAAGTCATGATAAAATTATTTCTTTATAAAACTATATTGTTGTTCATTATTATGTTACTGGATCTATATTCAACCAAAATTGAGAACATCAAAATAGATGTTACCAAATTAACCCTAATGGTTGATTTTTAGAAAGCTGTTTTAAATAATAAATTATTAGTGCTATATGGATTGACATTTCAGGAATATTTTCTTAAAGAAATGTAAAATTAGAAACCAATGAAATTAAAATGACTTATTTCCTAAGAATAGTAACCATTAAACTTTTTCAAAGTAATGGATATTTAAAAATTATTAAAAATAATTCTTTGCTGAGTACTATCACTAAAGAAACTCCTGAAAATAAAATACATATGGTTTTCATAAGATGGAAATATCTATATTGTAACTTCATGCTTTAGTGGGTTATAGTCATAGTAAGAAACAGCATTACATGGAGCTCTTAAATAATCCTACTATTTTTTCCATTGGCACTGTGGAAATTCCTGGCTAGCATGTAATTGTTCTACTCAATATATTGGTGATATTTAAAAAATATAAACTCATCAAATATTTTCATTAGTTAGTGAAGTTGACCAGAGTTAGTTTGAGATAGTGGTAGGATCAAATAATAGGATAAGGTATGTTGACATATGCTGGGGAATTTGCTTGTAGTGAGGAGGGGGTAGCATGGAGTTTTTTGTTGTTGTTGTTAGATTTATTTATTTATTTATTTATTTGGAAGTCAGAGTTACACAGAGAGAGAAGGAGTGGTAGAGAGGTAGAGAGAGAGAGAGAACAGGAGAGAGGTCTTCCATCCGCTGGTTCACTCCCCACTTGGCCACAACAGCCAGAGCTGTGCTGATTTGAAGCCAGGAGCCAGGGGCTTCCTCCAGGTCTCCCAGGTGGGTGCAGGGGCCCACAGATCTGGGCCTTCTTCTATTGCTTTCCTAGGCCATAGCAGAGAGCTGGATCAGAAGTGGAGCAGCTGGGACTCAAACCAGCATCCATATGGGATGTGGGCACTGCAGGCAGCAGCTTTATCCACTATGCCACAGTGCTGGCCCCAAGCATGGAGTTATAAGAAGCAGAACAAGAAGAAAATCCAAAAGGGGACAGGCATTTAGTGCAATGGTTAAATCACAGCTTGAGACATGTGCATGCCATATGAGTGCCTGTGTTCAGCTTTCAGTTCTGCTTCTGTTTCCTGCTGATGTGCACTCCAGACAGCAGCAGGTGATGGCTCAAGTAGATGGATTCTTGACAACCATGTGAGAGTTCTTGGTTTCTGGCTTTAACCTGGCCCAGTCCTGGGTATTAAAGGCATTTTTGTAGTGAGCCAGTCGATGGAAGATCTCTTTCTAAGCCTTTCAAATGAAATGAAAAATAAATTTTAAGAGGAAAGAAGAGAGTGGAAAGTGAATGGGTTTGGCAAGAGCATGTAGGATTCATTGAAGAGTAAAGAACAAAAAAGAGTAAAGAGACAAAAAACAGGCCGGCACCACGGCTCACTTGGCTAATCCTCTACGTGTGGCACCAGCAATGTGGGTTCTAGTCCCTGTCGGGGTGCTGGATTCTATCCCGGTTTGCTCCTCTTCCAGTCCAGCTCTCTGCTGTGGCCCGGGAGTGCAGTGGAGGATGGCCCAGGTCCTTGGGCCCTGCACTCGCATGGGAGACCAGAAGGAGGCACCTGGCTCCTGGCTTCGGATCCTTGCAGCGCACTGGCCACAACACGCCTGCCATAGCGGCCACTTGGGGTGTGAACCAAGGGAAAAGGAAGACCTTTCTCTCTGTCCCTCTCTCTCTCACTGTCTAACTCTGCCTGTCAAAAAAAAGAGAGACAAAAATAAGCTACAAAAACAATAAAAATAAATACACTGATAACTGAAATACACAAGAGAACTTAAAAAAATTCAAGGAAAATTGAATTATAAGTTTATTTTTGTATAAATTTTTTGAAATCCATGCACAGTTACTTAATAATACACATTTTACAAGAAATTTTCAAAGACTCCTTGCATATGCTAAAGATGGAGGGTAAAACAAAAAAAAATGAAGTGATTAAATGTTTGGATAATTTTGTTTTCTGAACTGAGTTCTCCAGAAAAAAAAATTATAAAGTAAATATAATAAAATCATTCGTTTTTAAATCATTGTAATATAAATAGGATTTATGCACAAAGTTAGATTCTGTATAGTTGTAGGGTAATCAACAAGTTCAGTTGGAATCCTCACTTCTTATTTTTAATTTTGAGAAATTGAAATTATTTGCATGGATTAGAGAACGAAGTATCCACCAAACCCTTAACCTGAAGTCTGTTTGAAATGAATGCTTGTGTGTGAAACTGAAAAGTCAGCTGACCCAAATTCCTTTCATACTGAATCTTAGCTTATTTCATTTAGTTGAATAATCAGTATAAAATCTGAGTTTTGCTTGGGAAATATTGCTTTCCCAAAATATTCAATTTGATTATGATTTTAATCTCATATTTCAAGTTTCCAAACTCTGGAAAAAGTTTTCAATATTTCATTAGTCTATGTTCAACTTGATTTATTTTTATTTTGCTTTATTTCTGTTACTAGTTGAATTTTTTTACTTATCTGAAGTGTTTTATACTGATGGACATTGGCAACATGCTTAATTTCTGGCAGTGGAATATTTCATATTATTTTGGAATGTCAGTTTAATATCTTCATATGTTATGAGATGAGTGATATTATCTCATCTTTTGATAATTACATTTTGGTTAAATTTTATAGTTATAAACTCACAGTAAGAGCATAAGATAAAGGCCCCTCTGGCCATCTGTTGTCTTCAGAACTGCCTTTTCTTCTGCATTAATCCTGGATAGTTTCTGTTAAAGTGGGAAGAGTTTCTGCACATTCTTTTGGTTTCTGCTATAATGTGAATGATTTGTACCCATAATAAAACCCTGGTCTAACATGGGCGACACAAATACTAGTTTTAAGTCCCCTAGCTTTCTAGATGCTTAAGATGGCATACAGAAAATGGTAGGACAAAATCAAGGAAGGTCCTGTTAAAGATAGAAAGGATAACATGGGTAAATTTACTTTATAACACAGTTGTTACAGATTAAAAAAATGTGATTGTCAGTGTGCTGAGCTATCATATAGACAGATTTCATGCTTTCATTCATTAGTCACAAGGAGTTCTTCTGATTGCTGCTTTTCTAGGTGTATACAGTTGAAGAATCAGGACTAAATATCCTGGTGTGGTCAGTGGTTGGAAATAAAAGAACTGGCTGGACGTATGGACATGTATCTGTCTCCAGTAACGGTCCATTTAAAGTGGCATTTGAAGCTGATTTAGGTGGAAATGAGAACATCTTCATTGCCCTTGATGACATCTCTTTCACCCCAGAGTGCATGTCTGGAGGTAAGTGATTCTTTCAGAAAACAGGACCAAGTATAGTCTTCTAATATCTGAAATATAGAAGAATTGGGAATTCTGAGGAATTGCTGTATTTTCAAGTCCACCCCTACTCATACATTGAAGTTGGTATAGGTAGTATGCAGAGAAGTTGGTATAGGTAGTATGCAGAGAAGTTTCCTGCCCGTGAATTTTGCCATGAAATTTTCATGTCCTCTAGGCAACAACAACAACAAAACCCTCTGCACTAAAATTATTAAGAAACTATGAAGAAATTTAGGTAATCAATGTGGCTTTATTGTCTACTTTCTTCACACCCAAAGGTTCACAGTAACTTTATAAGACCCCTCAAGCCATCTGTTATCTTTGAAACTATCTTCTCTCCCCATGTTAACATTTCCTTTCCCTAGGCTAGTTCTCTTAACCTATTATAACTGTGCAATATAGAATGCTTGTTCTATTTCAAAAAGAAAACAGAAGTTCTGTCATAAACTACATTTCTATGAAACCTTCCCCTCCATTGAAATCAGAATTTCTATTCCCTAGGTTGCTTCTGCTTAAGTGAGGCTGTTTGTTCTCTTACAAAATATTCATTTTTATAAAATATTTATCTGAAAGAGAGGGAGGGAGGGAAAGAGGGAGGGAGAAAAAGAGAGAGAGAGAGAGATATCAAATGACGTCAATGGCAAGGGCCAGGCTGAACCTAGGAACCTGAAACACCATTTAGATCTCCTATAGGTGGCACTTGGTCCACCATTTGTTGTTTTCCCTTTTTTTAAAAAAAAAATATTTATTTATTTATTTATTTGAGAGGTAGAGTTACAGACAGTGAGAGGGAGAGATAGAGAGAAAGGTCTTCCATCCATTGGTTCACTTCCCAAATGGCCACTACGGCCAGGGCTGCGCTGATCCAAAGCCAGGAGCTTTTCCGGGTCTCCCATGTGGGTGCAGGGGCCCAAGGACTTGGGCCATCTTCTACTGCTTTCCCAGGCCACAGCAGAAAGCAGGATTGGAAGAGGAGCAGCTGGGACTAGAACCGGCGCCCATATGGGATGCCAGCACCTCAGGCAGAGGATTAACCTACTGCGCCATGGTGCCAGCCCCTGTTGTTTTCCAAGGTACATTAGCAGGGAGCTGGATAGGAAGTGGAACAAATGGGATGTGAACCAGCTCTTGTATGGGATGACAGCATTGCAGGCAGCAGTTTAACTTCTTGTGCCACAACACCACCTCGTCTTGATTTTTAAAGTATAGTAGGGTCATTTTCTTTGTTTCTACCCATGCCTTATTTAAAATGTTGGTTTTAGAGCCTTATTCTAAAGTTCCCTTTCCATGGTAGGCATTTGGCATAGTGTTTAAGACAGTAGTCAGTCCCACTCCTGGGAATTTACCCAAGGGAAATGAAATCAGCATATGAAAGAGTTATCTGCACCCCCATGTTTATTGCAGCTCAATTCATAATAGCTAAGATATGGAATCAAACCAGATGTCCATCACCTGATAGCTAGATAAACAAATTATGGTATGTATACACTATGGAATACTTCTCAGCCATAAAAAGAATGAAATCCCAATTTTGACAACAAAAATGGATACAACTGGAAACCATTATACTAGTGAAATAAGCCAGTCTGCAAAAGACAAATACCACATATTTTCCCTGATCTGTGGTAACTAATAGAGTACCAAAAATGTAATGTATAAGAATGAAATTGACATTTTGCCATTCAATGATTGTTTACAGCCTTGTCTCTACTGTTCAGGAACAGTGATTTTTTTCTTCTAACTATCTCTTGAACTCTTTGGGTAGTTAATCTTATGAGTATGCAGGAAAAATGAAAGTAGGTAATTGTAAAAATAAGAGGGAATAGGGAGGAAGTGTTGGGGAGCATGGGCCAGAGGGAGAATAAGGTGGGAAGTATCACTATGAGGTTTATATACCTTAAATAAAATTTTAAAAAGGCATCATCACCCCATATCTGCATATCTAGACTTACATTTTAAGTCTCCTCCTGATCCTAGTTTACTGCTAATGTGCACGCTGGAAGGCAGCAGGTGATGGCTTAAGTACTTTTGTCCCTGCCACCCATGTGGGACACCTGGATTGAATTTCTAGCTCTTGGCTTTGACCTGGCCCTAGACATTTACAGGCATTTGGAGAGTGAACCAGCACATGGGACACCCCTGCCCTGACCCACTTCTCAGATTAAAAATAAATTAAAAATTAATTATAAAACAGAAGTGTCCATTCCTTCAAGGACACACATCTGAGTTCTTACCCTCATGGTTTTCCTGTGGAACCTACACTCTATGCAATCTCAACTTCCAGGTAATGCAGTCTGTGTGAAACCTTGAGCTCTTGATTCCGATAACCCTCATCAAAATTCTTTGTTTTTTAAACTTTGTTTTTAAAATTGTTTTGTATTTTAAAGGCACAGTGGTGGAGAGAATGAAAGATAAAGAGTGAAAGAAATCTTTCATCTGCTTATTCACTCCCCAAATACCAACAACAGCCAGACCTAGGCCAGGCTGAAGCCAGGAGCCAGAAACTCTACCCCACATGCATGGCAGGGGCCCAAATAGTTGAGCCATCCATCTTCTGCTGCTTTCCCAGGGGCATTCGTAGGGGAAAAAAAGCTGAAAACTTTTCAGGAGTTGGATCCAGTATGGAAACTAAGTGTCTGAGAACAGATGCCAAATAGCAAATAATTATTTTCAAAGTGAATATCTACAGTTACTAAAACTAATATAAACAGAAGAATGTGAACAGAAGTTCCAAATGGATATAAACATACTTAAGTGCACTTATATATGTGAATATATTCGTGCACATATATGTATGCACATGTAGAGAGAGGTTATGTGAAACTGTGAAGCTACTCACTAGTGATTCAAAGGAGAGAGCTGGAAAGTGGACTAGTGACAACAAGAGAAAACCTCTCTAACATTTCATAATGTTGTCTATTTTTCCACCATCACAAAATTTTTGATTATATGAGGTTATATGAAGATAGAATATTTATGCAATTGCAGTCATTAGCAGTGGCATCACTATTCTTGGTTAGGAAGGAAGCCTCTACAGTTGTGGAGAATAGTGATGTTAAGTAAAAATCTTCTCTTTTGGGGCCTCAATATGGTGTTTCATCAGCTCTCAATTTTCTTTTAAGTCTGCAGCTTCTGTAAGTGATTTGGGAAGAGTGGACTCTGAGAATAAGGCATGCACCTCTCTACCACTGTCTATTTTCTCTCACTTTTTTTTTTCAATTTTGTGTATTCCATGAGACTTCTGTCTTTTTACACACATGCAGCTTTCTTACAGCAAAACACATACCCTCTTTCCTACCTTGTTTTGTCCCCCATAAGTCCTTTGTCCCTCTCTACCTGGTCAGGGCTCTCCTATTTCCTTCCTTCCTTCCTTCCTTCCTTCCTTCCTTCCTTCCTTCCTTCCTTCCTTCCTTTCAAGATTTATTTTTTTTTATTTGAAAAGCAGAGCTACAGTGAGAGTGAGAGTGAGAGAGAGAGAGAGAGAGAGAGAGGAATCATCCATTCACTGGTTCACTCTCCAGAATGTCTACAACAACAGAGCCAGGCCAGAACAAAGCCAGGAGCTTCCGGGGCCCCAGCACTTGGGCCATTCTTGGTTGCTTTCCCAGGTGCATTAGCAGGGAACTGGATCAGAAGTGGAACAGTTGGGTCTTGAACAAGCATCCATATGGGATGCTGGCTCCCTAGGCAATGGTTTTACCCATCAAGCCATGGCACCAGCCTCTCCTATTTTCTATAGTCAAAAGGGAATCTCATCCATCTTTCCAGGAATATGTCCACTAGCAGATACATGGAAATTAGATGTTTTTCTTATGGTTCCCCCACAGAGGTGACTAGAGTTCAGTGCCCCCATAGAAATGACTAGGTTTTAATAAAAAATCAATATTTGGATAATTTATGAAGGGCTCACATAGAAATATAACAAATAAACCAAAATTTTCATGAACTGAAGTGAAAAAATCATAATCTCCCCCATAGTTTTTATTATATATTTGAATGTTGTTAATAAAATACCTTTTAAAATATAATTACCGATTTATAACTGATGTATATTTGCAATGAGTGATTTTACCATCTATGTGACTCAGTAAGGTAGTATTTCCAATAACTTAATTTCTGCTCTTTAAACTGAAGTTTGATATGCACATCATTTTCCTTTTAAAACAATATATTTTGCTTTAAGTAAACTTACTAATCATAAAACTAAAAATCCATCAGATTTTCCTTAGGCATTTATGAAATCCATGGGACTGTTTCACTGAATTTCACTGTAAATTATATGTATGAAATATTTTTATTGCTATAAGAAATAGATTCCCACAACTGTCTAGACATAAGTAAGCAACAAAAGTTAACATTCTTTGCCCCCTCAAAGAAACAAAATATCAGGGTAGAGAACCACCTGCAGAAGTCAGAATGAAGAGGAGTGTGGTTATCAGAGCCAAGTCTTAGTTCCTGGGAATATTGAAGTTGGTTAATGTTGGTAGTTCCCAAATCTTTTATCCTTGGTGGGTTTTCTTCCTTGAAGATTTTCCTTTTCATTCTTCTAAGATTTGTCAGAAAACAAAAATATAAGGTTTACTCTTAGATAGAACACTAATGACCAAAGTCCTTTTTGTACAATCTCATAAAACTTCTGAAGCAATAGGTTGGAAAACCATGGCATGCATATGAAATAATGATCACTTTAGTTACCAAATTACAGAAACATTTTCAAAAGTATCAAGAAACATATTTTTTTAAAATTTATTTGAGAGTCTGACAGAGTCAGAGCTCCATCCGCTGATTCATTCCCCAAGGGTTCACCATGCAGTGGCTAGGCCAGATCTAAGTGGTGAACCAGTAATTCCATGTAGGAGCAGGCAGTCAACTTGAGCTCTGACCTGACTGTTGCCCTCCAGGCTGCTCAGCAGGAAGCTGAAATCGGGAATGGAGCCAGAATTTACACCTAACTGACATCT